AAGAGGACATTAAAAAATGTATCTCTTGCTCATGGAAGAATCAACATAGTGAAAATGGCCATACTCCCAAAACTGTTATACAGAATTAATGTAATCCTTGTCAAAATATCATTAGCATATTTTACAGAACTAGAAAAAACATTCCTAAAATCTTTCTGGTACCAGAAGAGACCCAGAATAGCAAAGGTAATCCTGGTCAACAAAGGCAAGGCAGGAGGTATAACAATCCTTGATTTGAAATTATATGACAAAACTACTATGATAAAATCAACATGGTACTGGCAAAAAAAAAAAAAAACCAAACCAGACATGAGGACCAAAGGAACAGATTAGAAGACGTAGAAACAACTCTAAACATACTCAGTCACCTTATCTTTGACAAAGTTGGCAATATGGTCACAGGAAGAAAGATAGCCTCTTTAATAAATGTTGCTAGAAAAACTGCTTCTCTACACGCCAAAGACTAAAATTAGAACTGGGTCTATTACCATGCTCTAAAGTCAAAGTAGATCAAAGATCTAAATATTAAAACAAAAACACTAAATCTACTGGATGAGAAACTGCACAGAAATCTTAAAGATATATGTGTAGGTATAGATAGAGTTCATGAATTAAATTCAGCCTGCACAGGAAATATTTCAAAGAATCAACAACTGGCATCTCATCTTATTAAAAAGCTTTTATAAAACAAAAGAAATCACCAACAAAGTGAAAAGATCACCCACAGAGTGGGAAAAATGTAGCCAATTTTCCTCAGAGAAAGAATTTCTATCTAGGACATATAAAGAATTGAAAAAACTCAGATCCTACCAAATTCAAAGACCCAATCAATCATGGAGATCTGAGATGCATATGCACTTCTCAGATGAAGAAAACAAATGGCACATAAATATGAAGAAATGTTCAGCATCACTGATCATTCCAGAGATGCAAATTAAAACAATACTGAGATTCTATCTCACCCCTAAAAGAATGGCTATCACCAAGAAATCAACCAATAGCAATTCTGGAGGGGCTGTAGGGAGAAAGGAATCCTTCTCCACTGTTGGTGCAAGGGTAGAGTGATACAATCACTGAGGAAATCAATGTGGAGATTCCTTGAAGAATTAGGATTAGAGGTCCTATTCCATCCAGTTATTCCCTTTCTGGGTATATTCCCAGAAGAATTAGAAACATCATAGTGCAGTGATATATTTGCACCCATTTTTTTTAGCAGCACAATTTTTAATAGCTAAATCTGGGAAATAACCCAAATACCCATCAACTGAGTAATGGATAAAAAAGATGTGGTGTTTTTATATGATGGAGTACTACTCAGCCATAAGGAAGAATAAACTGGAGACTTTTATAGGTAAATGGATACCACTTGAGACCATACTCATAAGTGAAATAAATCATGCTCTCATGTGTAAACATCGTATTGTCTCCTTGGTATGAGAAACTAAAAGAATAAATAAGTTCTAAAATTTACAATAGATATTGTTAAATAGGATGAAACTTTTCAACAGGAGAAATGAACTAGGATAGGTGAAAGGGGAAAGGACGGTAGGGAAAAGGGAATAAATGCAAGTCAGCTACACTATTAGTGTCTCTTAGTTCATTAAAATGGAAGGTTTGTGCTGATATTGATTGGAGAAATTTTTATACCCACATCTTAGAGATAACAACATGTAATATAGTAACTATTGTTAATCTCCTAGTACTTTTGTTATGAAAATTTGCTTTTCAGTTTTTCCATAAAATAAAATTTTTAAAAAATGAAAAAGAAAGGAAAGCCTCACAATTGCATTATAAAAGAAAGCATATAAATAAAAATTTAGAAAATACTTAACTATATCTTGATTTTCTACTCTCATCTGTACGAATAGAATTCATTTCTTAAGTAAAAAAGTTTGTAAAGTTTCATCACACAATGTCTATCATTCTTAAGAAATAAAATTGGCATATGGCACCCTTCCTTGTAATTCTATTGATTTTGATGGGTTGAAATGTCTATCATTAAACATTTGAGCCAATTTAGTAAAAACAATTGAGGCATTTCCTACCATAAAATAGAAGAAATTAAATATTGAGATTGCATAGAGCACTGAGACACAGCTCAAAAGAATGAAGATCAATTGTTTGTTTCCTAAACAGTAGTGCTTATGTGTACTGAGATATCAGAAGTACTGAGATATTAGAAGTCCCCGAGGCTATTAATTTCCCTTGTATACAAATTTTGAAATATTCTTTATTAAGAAGTAAATAACATGGGATGTTGGATGAATAAACAAATAGATTACTTTGTATCTTTTCAATACATTTGTCTCACAGTCTCAGAAGCCCTAATATTTACTTTCAGGCAGACTCAGACTTATTTGTTTTAAGGATCAGAAAAGCATTCTAACAGAATTACAAAGCATCTTCTTATGATATAATCTGCCCATTGTACAGTATTTGAGAAGCAGCATTACATTGTGGTCAACTATTGGTCTCTATTTTGCCACTTTGCAAATAAAAGCAAACTTTAAAATCATGTTTTTAAAGAATATTTATTAAATGTTGAAATGTGCGGCCTAAAAATACATGGCATATGGTCTGTGGAAATAGTTCAATATGCTCTTGAACGCAGTAGTTATTTGCTCAGTGTAGTTTGACTCTGGGATGTAAACAGCCATAATTGACCTCAGTGCAGCCAGTCTGGGCTTTTAACTGAGTCAGCAGATTAGGTTAGCTGATTTGGTTAGGTGTCATAACTTTTATTAATTTCAGTCAATGCATAGAAACCAGTTGCTTATATGATGAACTTTTCTTGGCTTATTGAACACTGATTGAGTTAGCCAATTTTTAAAATTTGACAGGTTTTACTACTGTTTCAGATAAAAATTACCCAAGTAACTTTGAGAATTTGTGCTTTCATTGTTTTACCTCTTTACGTTAACAGGTACTGCATTGTTTTCATTTCCCTAAGAAATACAGACATGCATATTTATGTATTTGTTTGATTTTTAAATTTTTGTTCCCACGTGTTTGCTGTACGTAATTGATTACATTCACCGTGGGGCCTTGGTACATGTACATAACACATCAGCAGATGGCTGACATTGTCACTATCCGCTGCAGGGATGTCCCCACAGCTAACAGTCTACTACTAATGTTCTATTTATAGCAACAATTACTAATAACACAAAAGAAACAGAAAAAGCTCTGAGGTAACTGGAAATATTTTAAATCTTAGTTATAGTCTTATTTTTTTTCTGAACATTCTACCAGCTAAAATTCTATCGAAGTATCCTCTTATATACAGAAAAACTAATTAATTAGCAAACAATCAATATCTCTGTCAACCTGATGCCTTTCATTATTACTAACTTCCTTCTAAAAATTATCTCAAGCTTAAATTTAAACTCAACCTATTTTTACACCATATGCTAATCCTTATTTATTCCATTCCACTATCTTGTTCATTATATGGGTTAAAAGTTTGTTTTTACTAGGTTTTTCAAACATATTTTGCCACACAGAAAATATTTTTTAGCTTCCAGAAGTGAGGATAATAATTTGATTCTTGAATGTTTACATTTATATTAGTCAAAAGAAATGTTATAGCACAGTATTTAAGAAAGTTGACTAATAGAGCTGCTATTTAAACCACCTGTACATGTGAAAGGTATTGCTACTTAATTAGCATCCCCAAATTGCTCTAATTGTATATGTGTACATATTTTTGTAGGCTTAATATCCTGTGTTATTTGGTTTCCACTTAAATTAGTACTGTTCATGATGTCATGATAGAGTTGTATGCCTTTTGATAAAAAGACACTATCAAACTGATGCACTATTGGAATAATGTACCTATAATTAGGAACGTCCTAATTCCACAGTGTTAACCTCACCAAAATGACAGTAAAATGTGACGGCCTACAATGGCTGTGGAAAGCTTGCTGGCGAAGCCTGGTATGTATGATCAGCATGATGCAAAAACAATGAAGTGGAATGTTTAATTTCAGTGACTACAGTTGAGGATGACATATTTTGGAGTTCTTTGGTAGCTTGTACAGTTTTGTAGAACGCATCGGACTCGGATCACTTTCTCGCACCACTAAGAACTATTGACTCACCTAGCGCTGAGTCACCATTCTCCCTCCTACCGCGCCTCTCTCTCAGCCATGCCAGGTGTACCGGGTGAAATTGGAGTGCCTTACAGTTGTGTTCTAAGTGGAGGGAACGACAGTGAGAGAGGCAATGAAAAAGGCCTAACACTGCCTTCCTAAGAGACACGCTTCTTAAGAGTGGAACCAGCACACTATTGAAATCTTCAAAGGAAGGAATGCTAGGTGCACAGTCTAGAAGCATAAGAAATTCGTACGCTCTATTCTGGTGGACTACATTGGCTGGCTGAGGGTTTATTTTTTGATCCTCCTATCAGAAAAAGCACACTATGCAAGCCAAAGTACTTTTTTTCGTGTTTTTTTTTTTTTTTTTTTTTCCGGTACCGGGAATTGAACTCACGACCTTGAGCTTGCCAGGCAGGCGCTGTGCTGCTGAGCGAAACCCCCAGCCCCCCAAAGTATTTTTAAAAGGATGCATTTAAAACTCAAATTATAAAGATAGTGCACACTTAAATACTGTATTGCCTTGTCTTGTTGGAGGCTCGTATGGACTACAGCCCTGTGGCGTATGCAAATCTCGCGTAGAGGATGAAAACTCTGCATCATTTAGTAGCTGGGCAGTTATTCTTTAGAAGTGAGGATCTGAAGAACGCAATGAGGAGTACGTTTCTTTTTGTTACAGGCAAAGGCACGAAGGAAGCTGGAAAGGGTGGTAGTATTTATTGTTTCTGCATTTTTGCAGAGGCCAGCACTGCTCTGGTGATGGAAGAAGAGCACCAGCCTGCCTGATCCTCTTCCTCGGGCCTCGCCCACGCTTCTGCCGGGTCCCCACGGCCTCAGCCTGCGGCAGGGAGGCTCCAGCGCCCGTAGGTGGCGCCCCACGTCCGTGCTTGCGCTTCTCGCCTGCGCTGAGGGTGCCGCTCGCTCAGAAACCCAGTGTGTCTCCCCAGGTCTTTAGAGCTCGGAGCCGGCGTTTTAATAAATAAGCTTGGAGCCAAAGCGCTCCGAGAGCCCCGAGGTTCAGAGGAGCAGACTCGTAAACCCGGGCGGGAGGCGCCTCTTTAATTCTTGCCAAAACCTGATAATTCTCAAACTGGAAATACTGGAGCCACAGCCTTTAAACCATTAAATCCCCCAAGCTTTCTCGCTGTACCCATTTTTTTTTCCTTTGACTTTTTTTCTTTCCTTTAATTATGAAAGTGGTCACGCCATTCAAGAGTAAGACTTGGAAAGAATTTGGAAAAGAAAAGAAAGAATCAAAAAGAAGAGACGCCGCTGGCGCTTTTGAGGGTGCCTAATTTTAAAAAGGATTTCGCACGGGGTGTTTGGGTGAGAACCGGACTTGGGCGGTGCGGGGTGCCGTGGGGGTTGCGGGGGAGGGAGTTCTGAGTCGCGGAGAGAGAGATGCGCGGAGTCCCTAGCGCGATGGTGACAGCGACCGGCTGTGCTCTCCGGAGCCTGCAGGAGAGGCCGGGACGGAGGGGTCGGGACGCAGAGCCGAGCGCCCGGGGCGCGGGGGGCAGGAGCCGAGGCGCAGGGCGACCGCGGGCTGCGCGCGGGGCAGCTCCGGGCTCCGAGCTCGCTCAGCGTCCCGCGTGCAGCGTTCGGGTCAGAGGCGCCCGGCGATCGCGCTGCGGGAAGCGGAGCGGGGCTCCGTGCTTTGCGGGTCGCGGGGAGCCCGGGGCCCCGAGCGGGTGTGGTGCGCACCCGGAGCGGTCGCAGGCCGGCGCGGGAAAGCGGCAGGGCGGGGCGGCGCGGTTATTGGCCGCGCGCGGGAGAAGGGTCGCGCTCCGAGTCCTCCGCCCGCCAGCTCCTGCTCGCCTCATTTTCTTTGAGCAGAACAACTTCGCGGGGCGCGGCGCTCGCTGGTCATGGACGTTCCAGGTAACCAAACACGGACCCTGCCCTCCGGGATCCTCGCGTTGGGCTTGCGTATACTTTAATCAGGACAGGCACGAGTGCGTTCTAGGGGAGGAGGGCGGGAAGACGAACCCCTGATCCCTTTGTGCCTGGACGGAGGACAGCAGACATATTGAGGAAGAACTTCCCTCTTCTTGGAAAGAGCGGTGGAAGAGTTGCTGCTCGGCTGGAGGCGGTGAGGGGGCAGGCTTTCTGGCTTCTTGTTTCTCTGCTGGGTGTTAGCATGACCTGGCTGGTGTAGTGCGAGAAAAAGGGACAGGGCGGAAGTGTCCAGGGGCGCGTAAGTTAGAGACCCCCACAGGGCTGCCTCCCAGCCCGGGAGGAGGGGGCGCGGGTGCAGCAACAATAGCTGGAGAACAAGGGAAGCCTGGGATTCTGGTTGCTGGCTTCCGTCCTCGGCGAGGGAACCTGAGGAGTCTCTCCAAGGGGGCTGGCTAGCGGCTGCGGGGAGCTGGGTGTGTGCTTTCAGTGCTAAGTGCATCTCAGGCTGTCTCTCCCACCCTTAATCCCATTCTCCCAAAGAAAGAGCTTTCTGGGGTTTGTTCTGTGGGTGGAAATAGATTATTTATTTATTTTGTTACTAAATAGACCGCTTTTAAAAACACCTCCTGGTGGAAAATAGAGGGCGGACGAGAAGGCAGGAAAAGGATTTTTTTGGGTCCCGGTGTGGCTTTCAGGAAGATGCCACTGAGATGAAGCCACTTTCTTTTTTCCTTTGCCTGTGTCTTACACCTGTCCACCTTTGGCCCAGTGGGTACGAGGTGGCGTCGAAGCTGTCTGCAGGGTCGGACCCTGGGCCGAGGTCTTGCAGAATGGGGGGATCTCCCGCTCCTGCGCCCCTGAGCGCGCCTCCCCAGCCTTCCCGGACGCTCTCTTTGGCGCGCCCTGGCTTTTCTCCTGAGCTGTTGTGTTAAACTGGGGGTCGATGTGGCGGTGGACCTAGGGGATGGCCATCCGAAAGGGGTCCCAAACCCTCGGGCAGCTGCTCCCCTCTGCTCCTCTCCCCACCTTCACCTCTCTGTCTAAGGATGTGGGTTCTGTGCCCTGACAGGTCTGCTGGCGCCTTCCTCCTGAGGAGCTCCCTGACCCTGACCATCAAAGAGGGGTGCCCAGCCCGGAGGAAGCCACTCCCGCGCAGCGCGTTCCTGCGCGCCCTTTGGCGCTTCTCCTGCGCCAACTGCTCCCGTCCCGGCTGCTCCCGCCCCCAGCCCAGCCGCCCCCCAGCCCAGATGCCAACGCCGGGCAGGGGCGTCAGTGGGCGGCGGTTGGCCATGCCCCGGCGCCGGGGGGCGCTGCGGGAGCCGGCTGACTGCGGCTCCTGTCTGGGGGCGGCGCTGGCCTTGCTGCTGCTGCTGCTGCCCGCCTGCTACCCCGTGCGGGCGCAGAACGATACGGAGCCCATCGTGCTGGAGGGCAAGTGCCTGGTGGTGTGCGACTCCAGCCCCTCGGCGGACGGCGCGGTCACTTCCTCCTTGGGCATCTCCGTGCGCTCTGGCAGCGCCAAGGTGGCTTTCTCCGCCACGCGCAGCACCAACCACGAGCCGTCGGAGATGAGCAACCGCACCATGACCATCTACTTCGACCAGGTACGCGGCCTGCTGCCACCCGCCCGGGAGCAGGGGCGGGGCCAGCGTTCCTGCTTGGGTCCGCTTCTTCCGAGAGGAGTTCCAGACTTCTTTCTTCCCTGCCCTGTGCTTCCATTCATCTTTTTCCTACTATCCTGTCCTCCCGTTTCCCCTTTCCTTTTCCTCCTTGTTTTTAATCTTTACTCTGTCAGTTCACTTGGATTATTGAGAACCCTCAACTTTCTAAATCTCTTGTAAAGCCAAGATTTAAAACATATTCCAGCGGGTTTCTTTCATCGGGTGGGATGGTTGTGGGGCGTGTTTGTGGCTGATTATCTGCAGTCACTCAGGTGGCCAAAATAAAGGCCAAGCATGTGTGCAATCCTTCAGAACGGGAACCCTCTGAAGGGCCCAGTCCAGATGCAAACAGTGTGGAACTGTCGCTCATTTTGCAGGCTGTACAGGAGAAAGAATGTTTATTTTAGAGAAAAATAAGTGTGGGGAAAACAGCGGAGATGGTTGTATAAAAATAAAACAAGATAACCTGGTTGTATAAATAGTGTGTAGTAAATGAAATATAATATGCACATATAGTCTATACGGATTTTTAGTGCAGCTGTATAATTAAAGAGCTGGGGCCAAAGTCACTTTGCGCTACTTAACTTCTGCCACTTGGTTCAAAGCAGAAGTCAGAGCCCAAGTCAAGCCTTCCTAATTCTTTTCTCAGAGCTGTCTGTACTCTGTGTTTGAAGGTCCTGGCCTTTCTGTGTGCACCCCTCCCAACTTTGGTTTGTATTATTTTTTAGAAGCAATTTCAAAACACGATTCCAGACCTTGGATAATCGGCTAATTCTTTTGCCAAAGGGCTTCCTACAAAATGGAGTCCTGGGCAGTCACAGACAGCGTTTGTGGTCTTAGTGAACGTACTTCCTGACTTTGCCTTCTGTGCTAAGCAGCCCTTGAGCGCCAGCAGACACAGCCTTGCCATGTCCTAGGCCAGTGTCTTCATTTTTAAAAATCCTTAAGGATCGTCTATGTGATGGGTTGTGTTCGTGTATGTATGCAGGTGGGGGGTTTCTTTAGTATGCTTTTATTTACAAGACATAAAAACACTATTCTAGTTATTTCCTAGTGAAGACCATGAAATAGGCATTTGGAATTTATGTACTCTATTAATAAGTTCTTCTTGATGGACCATCTTTATAGTGTCATTATATTTACAGTGTCTTACAGATGTTGTTCACCACACTTTCACATCCACATTTCAGCTGGGTGTCAAGAAAACTCTGATAAAGTGTGGGATGCATAGCACTAGGATTTTAATTTTATAGATTAGCAAATTGTGGCAGGGTAGATTAAAGTGCTTGCCTGGCTCCCAGTTAGGGAGTGCCTGAGACCCACTTTTCAGGGGCTGGCTTGGTGTTCTTCCATCTGTAACAAGGCCCTGAATGTACCAACTTGCAGAATTTAAAATTGAGGTGGAGGACTGCAGGTTAAGAGAAGAGGCAGTAGCTTCAAGAGCTTCAGTGGAGAATCCTTTTTTCTTCTCAGAATTATTGAGAGGGAGACATAGCATAGCATTGGGAGGCTGAGAACAGGCAGCTTAAAGCATTTTGTCTCCAACCATAGAGCTGTTTGCAGAAGCCCTACCCTTGAGTGGCTCAAGTGGTGCTAAGAGCCAGGTCTGGTCCAAGACGAGGGAACTTGTGTTTTCCACAAGTCATGTCCACAGCTGTTGTGGGCAGCAATTCGTGTTCAAGTTCCTTTGGGAGTTGCATGTTATTCATTTATAATGAGTACATAACAAGTAACAGCAAAAGGTATCTGGTTTAAGTTTATCCGATGAGCAGATGACAGGATCTCAAATACAGGGTTTTGATGTTGTTCCTGGCTGCTTGTATTAAAAACCAAGAACAACAATGGGCCGGTTCCTTATTTCAACTGAATTTGATTTGTATATGAGGAACAACAGGGGCAGAATCCAGATCAGGGGGTCAGATTTTGTCTGGAATACCTGAGAGGGATTTGTATCATATAGGGGAACTTGCCACTCTTCAAGTTCTGCTTATAACATTATCACACTCTAACCCTTCTATTACTGGGGGAACCCCAACAGCAGGTCCCCTGTCCATTGACTCAGTCTGTCATTATTCTTGCATGTAGGATCTCTTTAGTGGGAGCTAATGGTGTCCAGTCTACCATTTCAGTTCTGTGTATTATTCAAGTTTATTTGCTTATTTGCACCATACCTCAGTTAAGAGAGTGAACACACTTCCCAGAGGACAGAGAGAGGATAAACCAAGGCACCCAGTGTTTATTGATAAAACAGTTTCACTCACCATTATTGAGCACCTACTATCATTGTCAGGGACTCAGAAGCACTGAAGACAAAGTGTCACAGAGGCTGTGCTTTCCTGCAGCACATGAGGACAGGCCCTGAGCTAAGTCTTTCAGAAGTGACCTTCTTAAACTGTCTTTTGCTCCTCAGCCCTTTCTGTCTCCATTCAGTATGAACACTGGTTGTCAGAGCATCATACGTGTTGAAGTCCCTGCAATCCACAGACTTCAGAAATAGACCTAATTTATAGTTTGTTTACTGAGTTTCCTGTCTGCCCTTCCTTTCTCAGTGCCCTGACCTCCAACTCGGAAACTTTGTATCTCCTCTTTGAATATGTAAATAAAGTATATTTAAAATTCTTTATGAATTATCACCCATTAGAGTACCTGTGAAATCCATCCCTGCTGTATGATGGTTTAACTTCAGCACTTCTTCCTTCCTGGGAAGGTGGAGGAGGCTGACTTGGTGATAGCGGCTGCTCCATACTAATAAAGAAACTGATGTCAGCGGTTATCTGAGAGTGACTCAAATGGAGGCCAAGCAGGGCTTGCTGTGTGAGTGTTGTATTCCCTCTTCTCTTTCAGGTGTTAGTAAATATTGGCAACCATTTTGATCTTGCCTCCAGTATATTTGTAGCACCGCGAAAAGGGATCTATAGCTTCAGCTTCCACGTGGTCAAAGTGTATAACAGACAAACTATCCAGGTGGGTAGCTTTGAGGACTGGGCCCTTTCAGGTCTCGTTCAGAATCTTCCGTTGCTGATGGCTCAACTGCTTGGTCTGTGAGGCTGAGGAGCCAGGGAGCTGGGCTCCCCAGGGCCCTTTGGCTCTGAGGCAGCCAAGAGTCCCTTTTGTGGGCCGCTAGTGTGGATGCTAAGGGAAAGGCGGGGAGGGTGGACTAGGGTGATTGGAGAAGAAGGAAACAGCATGTGGGTGTGGGATGCTTTATGGCCTGCTGAGCTTTCCCCTCTGCATTTTAGGTCAGTTTAATGCAAAACGGCTACCCAGTGATTTCAGCATTTGCAGGAGACCAGGATGTAACCAGAGAAGCAGCCAGCAACGGTGTCCTGCTGCTCATGGAAAGGGAAGACAAAGTGCACCTCAAACTGGAGAGGGGCAACCTCATGGGGGGCTGGAAATACTCCACATTCTCGGGCTTCTTGGTTTTTCCTTTATAGACACAGAGCCCCCGGATGGTTGGGGAAGTTGCAATCTGGATCCAGGAATCCACCCTTCATAATACCCCGAACTTGCCAGAATAGGACAACCTGGTTCCAACTTCCGTCAGACTGTTGCAGTAGAAGAGTGATTCCTTCTGAATCTCCAGTATTTTCTTTGAATATTGACAATTCCTCGGGAACCTGGCCTCTAATTAGTTTTAGACCACAAGGTCTTAAGGAGAAATGAAATTATTGATTCGAGCAATTTGTACCTGTGATTGTAAAGTCAATATTGGATTTTATTGTTGGGACCATCAACTTACCTTTTTTTTGTTTGTACGTTGTGTCATTATCCCAAGGCAAGAGAGCCCAGGATCCCAGGAGGGACTCCAGGCTGCAGTCAGGGCTCACAGCAAGAGCCAAGCAAGGAAGCACCTGCTGGAAAGTCCTTGACATGTGTTCTGTGTGTCTGTATAGCCTTAAGAAAAGGAATGGCTTCACTTTCATTCTGTATTTTTCCCCTGGGTAAATGGGAGGATTTGGGAGGGGGATGAGGCCATTGTGAATCTGTCAAGAAGTGCTTTATCCGGAGAAGCAAATTTGCACGATTGGACTGCAACTTTTGTTTTGCATTGTTTGTGGGTTTTTTTTTTTTTCCTCCAGAAGTTTACTTTCCTTTCCATGCTAGGCTGTCTCCCCTCAGCCGCGCTTTGAATTTTCACGCCGGGGTATTGGAGAAAAAAATGTGTGTTGAGTTCATGGATGAGATTAAACAAAACAAAATCTGTATGTTTTGCTTTGGATGAGACCAAATCAAGCAAAAAGTATTTGTCAGAGTAACAATAGCAAATGGACAATTCTGCTTACTCACTCCAAGAGTCTCAGCTGCACCTTTAGAACTGCAACCTGGATTTTATTTATTTAGTTTTTTAAATTTACACTCTGGAATCCCTTAAGAACTTGGCATTCCTGGGTGGGCCTGAATTATGTAGGAGCTGAAGCTCTGATGGTCAAATTCCCTAAACAGTTTTTCTACCGTGCGTTTTACTTTATTTGGATCCACCTCTAAGTGAGCAGCGCACAGTGATCAAGAGTGTAAAAGCAAACAGGACCAGCCCCTCTTCCGTGGCTCTTCCTTTGATCTACCATGGAAAGGGAAGTGTTGACACTTGCCAGGGAGCATCTGGCAAGAAGCCAACTGGAAGTCACAGTGGTTAAGATATTGGCTGAGGCGCCCAGGAGTGGTTTTGCAAATCCCTATTATTTTGCACCTTGTATAACAGTGTTATTAAGACTCGGCTGAGAGTTGATTGGTATAGGTTTCCTACGCCAAGGACATGTCAGCAATCCCAAAGCAATCAAAGATGAGACCTCAAACCAGATGTTAATTTGTCCTTTGTGTAACAATGTAACCAAAATATTGATGATAAAAGCTCATAATTTAAGATTCAGAATAAATGGGTTTGATGTCTGACTTTCTCTGATCCCTGCACATCGTCTCCCAGCTCTCAGAATAATGATGAAATATCAGGGACTTGGGGATGTCAAATCCTTGCTGTGTCTCTTTGAAAGGCACACACACAAACACACACCCATGTGTGCAGATGCTGCAGTGGGTGTTGCTGGAAACCGCACACGTAGACACATTTAATTTATACTGAACATATTTTTCAAACGAGGAGCTTTGGGGGAGATAAGTGACAAAGACAGAACAGAACATTTTATAGGCGAGGAGTCTGCTTCTATCACGCTTTGGACATGGTATCAGCTCCAATCCAACATTTCAATCAGTGTGAGTAATATAAAAGAGACCAACATTTGCAACAGCACGAGTGGTCTCCAAATTGTATGTGAGGATGAGGAGGCTTTAGGTTTCATTGTTAAATAGTGAATGCAGTGGGGCTCTGTAAATGAGAAAATAGATTGTTTAAAGGCTTTAATTTCACTGTACTTCAAAGAAGACCATAGTAGGATGCAGAATTTAATTTGAGTTAAATGCTGTTATATTTTGTGTGGGAAGAAGTCAAGCAGAAAACACGTGTGTGATGTTGGCTCTGTGTTAGGAGCTGCACTTCAGACAGGGAACACTGCTGGTAACAGGGCAGCAGGAGTATGTGTGCACTGACTTACTGCTCTTAGTTATTTTAATGCTCTTTCTTTAATTTCCTTTACTTTATGTTCAATTTAAAACATACCGATAATCTCATTGGTTGAAACTAATGGCACCTCAGAAATTGAAAGATACATGACTGTTTGTTATTTTTATCCCTTAATAATGTTTAGTACACATATTTGTTCCTTTTTATACTGGTACTGCATACAGATTATTAAGTTATACTATCTAATAAATGATGTTAAATTGGCCAATCTAAATATATTTCAGGAGTTTATTTTATAGTAGAAAAAAACTTCATCCTTGTCATTCTCTTATCCTTTTCTCTTATCTGCTCTGACATGGATGCCAAAAACTACATTAAGTAGAAGCTACTGACAGTGTCTCTGAAGCTGTTTACCATCCACGGCAGCGTCTGCCAAGGCTGTGTTTGGCTCAGGGTCTGTGAGAGAGACAAAGCTCCTTGGTATGGGCTATGAAAATATATAGGTCAGACCAAATGTTGAGATGTATTCTCTTTAATTGGATGAGAGAAAGCGTCTGTATCCTTCTGAGGCCCAGCTCAGCAATCCTAGCTCCAATCTCGGTTTTCCTCCCTGAACAGCAAGGGCCACTCAGTCAGCCCGCATCACAGAGCCCTTGTGAGGACCTGTGAAATGCTCTGAAAATTGGAAGCCCTGCAATAATGAGGCCTGATTCAGGCAGGGGGGATGTTTCCGAAAAAAAAAAAAAATAAAAATAAATAAATAAAGAAAAACCAGGTTTTTCAACATGCAGTTTATGAGAATCATTTAAAATGAATATCTGACAGGAGGGCAATTTTACATGAAAGTAAATTTCCATATTCCTCAACAGACTGTTAAAACTGTTGTACTATATTGGATTTTCTCTTAATTTGATTTTTAGCAATGATGATCATATCACATTCCATACATTTTTCTATTTAATTCCACTCTCAGTTGTGTTATTCACCTTTTCTGGTTCCTGCTCACCTTTGTGTGCCAATATATTCTGCCAATATTATATAAAAATATACAACTGTAACATTTTTGACATAAGTAACAAAGATAATATTATTAATGTAAGTAATATTATGGCACTTGAATACTAAGTGGTTTTAGTTGATTAGTGTTAGCTGCACTAAATTGTAAATGCTTTTAAAGCAATACAATTTTCTTAACTTAAAATATATTCTAATTTGAAATACAACCTGGATGACTTAACTTTAAATCTTGAGAAACTGTGTTTCCCATCTATAATTCCTAAGCTTTTTTGCATCCCAGTATTTTTGATATATGTGTTCATGTATAAGTGAAATTATCTATGTTTTTACAGAGTACGGCTACTCAGAGTAACAGTGATACAAACCTATTGAATATTAGCATGAATTCATGGAACTCTATAGAGATTTTATACATTTACTTATTTAAAAAATTTTAGCTAAACCAAGTTATATCAAGCATCAGAAGAACTAGAAAATATACACAAAGTTAAATAAAACCTTTGCTGAATATTTAATATTGTGGCATTATTTTGATATCAAGTAAATTATAGTGGTTATATATTTAGTAACTATTATGTATATATTGTTTGCCTGTGAGTACATTTGACATATATACCTGATCTTTAAACATGGTAATATAATAAAAATACATGCATTGGTTATACTCTCCTGAAATCTAGGAATATGTGAAAGGAAAATTTGATGTGTCACTTTCTATAAGCAAAATAAAAGCAAGGGTTGCTCAGTCACATTTGAGTTGCAGCAAAGGGAACAAAAAAAATGTTCTGTGAATTTGTGTGACCATATTTTGGAATCTTTTGTAAGACTACAAATGTTGCAATAAGATAATGTTATTGTGAATAAAATAGTTCACATTTGTTTATATTTCTAGATCATAAGATGTATGTAATGGTCTAAAGCATACGTGTACATGAGGAAAAGCCCCTTTGCGTTACTTATACGATGGTGTAAATACATGGGGAATCATAGAAGCAGGTTGCATTGAATCATTCCAAACGGTCAACACGCACTTTATATAAACACTTGTAAAAAATATACCAAGAGATTAACTGTAGAACTGCAATGAGTTTTACCCTGTTTCTTTATTTGGAAATTTACCTGTCATTGATATTCGATTTCCAAAACTGGCACTTTGCCACCAAAATTTGATATTATGAATCTATTTTAAAATTTAAGAACAAAGCTTGTAAATTTCATGAAATTCTTAAAGTTACTTTTCTTGGCATTTAAAGAGCAAGCACACCAAATGTATTGAGTTAGTATACAATTTCAATATTGGTTTTACTGATTTACTCTAATCTATAACTTTTTCTCTGATCCACTATGAAGTTTGCTGAAGTTGGCCACAGTCATTAGTCAAGTGTGTTTTTGTATTTGGAAACCATTCAAGACCTAATTTTCAGAGATGAAATTTACCAAGAAAAGCATATTTGCTGTTTTCAGTTGCAGGGCTGCCATTCTTTTCTTTTCTTTTTTTTTTTTTGTTTTTCTCCGGTACCGGGAACCGAACTCATGACCTTGGGCATGCCAGGCAGGCGCTTTTGCCGCTGAGCTAAATCCCCAGCCCCGCCTGCCATTCGTTTTAAAAAATATTTTAGATGTTGCCCTGTTATACAGCTGTCTGTGATATGACTGAACAGGTTCATTTATCTTTTTTCTTTTTCTTTTTGGTATGGGGAATCAAACTCAGGACCGTGTGCTTGCCAGGCAGGCGCCTGTGATGCTGAGCTATATCTCCAGCTGCGGATGGACAGATTCAATACTAGTAGCCCTTTCCTCTTCGGTAGGAAAGAGGCATGCCAAAGTCTTGTCAAGATCTGATGAATATAAACTGCAAAAATTGCCATGTATGTGAGTCTGTATAAAAACATTACACTAAAATATGAATCTTAAGTAAATGAACTTTCCTTATATTTCCAAACTCAGTAGGGTAACTTGAAATTTGTGGGGGGAAAAGCTACCTAATTTTACCTCCTGCAGATAACAGAAGTTCTCTTTCATCTTCCTAAGTGGGTTTTGCTGAGGATTTCCATCAGTGAAATCACTTAAGTGTCTATAGCTTCATAAATCATCATCTTCATCAGCTCGCCCACATACACTCACTGTGTAGTGTAAATGAGCTCTTTGACAACTTAATTTGGAAAAAAAAATCTTCGCTCCCTCTTCCTAATGCCTGCAGCAGACTCCCCAGGGTTAGAATGCTGCATCGCACTGGAGCCCTTCAGAACAAATGGAAGTACCTTATTAATGAGCTACTACCAGTCCTGCATTCTGACTAGCAGTGCCTTAACTTATTGTTTCCTCCCCTTCCTCAGAATACTGATTTCTTCATTGGACTTCACTTCAGGTTGCCAAATATACCAAGATGCAAGATTGTTGGCAACACTCCTGAATGTGAGAAGTCTTATTTTGCTTATGTCTCTATAATCCAACTTTATTCATCTACAAATACTTGTACCTATCATTCATGCCTTCAAAGTATTCTTAGGACATAAGGCATCTTATTGTTTCCTTGACTTTATAGAAAATAAGCACTTATTGTGATTCTGCATTAATCATTATCATGAAACTGATTTAAGGATATCATAAAAATGTCTAAAGTATAGCTAAATTAATTAAAAAATTGACAAATTCTCTTTATTGATAAAATACCCCCTTTGCAATATTTTCCATGGATATTAAAGTTTCCAGCTTTAAGAGTTTCTAGCTTTAAGAGTGTCCTATTCAGTGGAACACTTTTTTACAGATATGCAACTATTAGATAAAAATAGTACATTTCCAGGGAGTAATTTATCCCTGAAAAATAATATAAGATTTGAAAATGTAATACTGTCTCCTTTTCATATTCCCAAGCACCATGCCGGGATGTCATCATACAGTTTGTTTTCCGGAGTTGTACACTGTCTGGAAAGAGCAATTATATCATCTATTCTTTTGGGAACAGGATGTAGATGCATCTTTTTCAAGTGTACATCATTTACCCATTGCTGCCTAAAGGCCAAAGAGTATGCTTACAGATAATAACAGAAAAATAAAGACACACTCAGTGTGCACCAAGAGCTCTTAGTCCTTGTTAAAACCAGCCTGGAGGATATTCATTTAAACCAACGGTGAGAGGGTGGATTGTGGTGGGTGTGGGAAGAACATTTTAATTTTGAATGCATGTTTACTGAAGTGAATAATGTAATTTAGACTTTTCACATATCCAGAGGAGATTGTTATTTTGAGACTAACGTTAAATATTTAACTTCTGTTGATCTCTCAACTAAAAGTTCATTTGTTATTTCTCGTTCCTCCCATGCTGATCACTGTGGGATATTCAGTGAACCAACTGTAGAGGAAGATTCTTGAATGAATCCTGAAACTCTTAAAGCGCATAGGATTAGACTCATAGGAATTTTTATTAATACAGAAAATTTTAGCTATAATAACAATTTTATACCTTTTCTTTCTTCTTGCGTTCTGTGAAGTGAGCTGCTTAGGATAAGAGAAAGCATATTATAATTGGTCAAACCTTTAGACATAGACATGTAGCCAGGTACAAATGAGACATGATTTGATGTCTGCCTTAAGCAGAACCCAGTGGGGACCATGCTTAGAACTTCAACATTTTTATGAGATACTAGCTTAAGGAAGGTTGATCTAATATAAGAAGCAACAAAAGATAAAGATGGCCCCAGGTGGCACTGGTAAAAAACATAGATTTTTTTGTTTTATTTTTATGCAGTTATGCACATGTGTGTCTGTATGTATATGAGTGTGTGAACATGAACGACATTTATAGTCAGAATTGGCTATCAAAATGCCTCCTGCCTATCTTGAGCTGTGCTATTCTGAAAGTGGCTCTCAAGCAAATAAGATGATGAGCCCAGGTGCCTTTCTTTGGACATGTAGATTCATTTCTACTTTTTATCTTGACTATATGGTCTGTGCTTTTCACTTTATTTCTTGTATTCAATCTCAGGAATTTATTTCACTAGAAGTTAGAAATTACATCTGGTCTCCGTGACAGAGATTGAGAACTGTTGAGAATAATTAGGCCATCTGGTGCTATAAATCCAATGGAAAGTTATGATCAGTGGATCATGGCCTAATCTGCTCTTCACCCATTGCATCTGAATTACCTTGGCACAAAAGGATGACAAGGGGCTGGAGTTTTAAAGGAAATCGCTACATCTCCCCAGTCATTAGCAGGCAAAGGCATGAGCATCAGGCTGTGATAATTAGAGAAGTCTTATCTCCCTAAAGGCCCATTACTTCTTGATACCTTTTTTTTTTTTAATGTCTCACAGTATACTGCAACAAACAGTGGATGTTATATATGTTTTACTTATGATTCTTACCAATGCCTGAGTATGTTCCTTAGAAGTCATCATTTACTAAAATAAAATTTTCTCTTTATCTTAATGGAAAATTAAAATCACCCCAAATTTGTTTTGTTACATTTCCTTCCACAATTACAGAAACATTTGTTTCAGGGAAAAAACTCCCCAATAGATGGTGCTGCTGCTGTGATTTAAGCCATGGAATAATTAGTATGCAAAAAAGGTCCAGAGAGAGGCCTGTGGGAATTCCCTTATGTCAAGTTACAGAAACACAAAAATGTGGTTGTATTTTTGCTTAATGCAAATTGACATAATTGTATAATTTGAAAACTTCAGAAAGATTTCTTAATGTTTGGAGGTCAAGAAATTACTTCTTGTCTTTATTGTTCATGTTCACAAATATCTTTGAACTGTAAATGCCAGCAAAATTCTTACAAAAGAATACACTGAGTATCTGAGATTTCTCTCTATAGTTCTCCCCAGGTCCCTTAGTGAAAGCTATAATATGAAGGCTGCAGCACAAATTGCAGTGAAATTCTTCCTTCATATTTACGGGAAAATTTTCTTTCTATCTGTGAGAAATTTTCCAGATGCAAGAAGCATATTGGCAGAATGATGTTTCCACTAACTCTGATTATACACAATTAGTATCGCCAGGCCCGGCACTGTGTCGGAGTATAATTTTCACATCATTGTTAGGACATCAGTACAAAGTAGATACTATAAAGATTAAAATAATGTTGTCAAAGTCTCACAACAAATCATTTTCAGAGGTGGGATCCAAATATTGGACTCTTACTGCAGAGCCTATTCGTTCAGCTATTGTATTAAGCTGCGTCTCAGTATGAAAAGAAAAGTGCAAAAAAGCATTCTTTTGTCAAATAAGAAATCTATGTAATCTGATTAATCATGTGTTTGCATTCAGTTATTTCACAAGCATATCTTTTTAGAAAAAGGTCAATGCAGTTTTATATGCTGCAAACATTAAAGCTGATTAGATATAATTAAAAGAAAAATACTGTAACAGCTGCCCTAAAATATAATTTGCTAAACTACTTATATCAGAAACACTGTAGTTCGGTCTCTCACTGTATTTAGTCCTCACCCTCACTCAGAAAATGATGATGGCAACATTTTTCTCTTTTATTTCTTTTGCTAGAACATATTGCAAAGACAAACCTGAAATACTGAGATACAGACAAATAGCTCATTCCCCCAACAACACTACATATGCTATGAAGACCACAGACCACTCTTTGTTTAGAATTCTATAGGAAAGCCTAGGAAATCAAGTGCAAAAGGCAAATAATCTATTG